ACAATTACTTTGTTTATTTCTCTCCTTCTCACCGGTTACTTGGCGCGTTTCAATAATTTTTTGTCTTTAGCTGTTTAAAATATTTTCATCGTTCATAATATATTTAGTGAATGAACTGTGGCTATATTCGTCAGATGAATTCTTTGTAAACAACGCATCCTTTCTTGAAATTAATTTGTCATGCTCTCTGATGTCCAACACATCTTGGAGGTGCCAACGGCAGTTAGCTCTTCTGGCCTCAAGGACACGAAGACTAGTGTGGAACTTTCTGATGGCAAAAAGGTATACGGCTGCTTGCTACAGTTCAGTGATACAAATGGTTCATTTTCGCAGAAGATCCAGAAGGCACCCTTAAACTCTCGAAAACGCCCTGAAGGTATGAAAAGAGAACTGTTCAATTTGCTAATCAACCACAAAAGGTAACAACGAAAGTCAATCTTATTTACTAATGAACCTCTTTAGTGACATTCCACCATTGATTCCAACGAGTTTCGCTCACAAGCTTGGCGGCTACAAAAATTTAAAGGCGAACTTGGGCTCCCATCAAGTCCGCCCCTGGGAATGGTCCCCATTTACCAATCCAGCTAGACAGGTCAGTTTAATGTTTTCCTTTTTTAAGTTTTCCATTTCCCCCTTTTTGAATATAATTTAGGAGCAAAAGCTTTAGCGTACAGCAGCAAAATAGGACTACTACCTGAAGATTTTACGTTATAAACAACTTGATCCAACAACTTTTTACATCTTGTCTCACCACATCACTCTGAACGCATTAGGCTAATGAACTATTTTTTCAGTTTAGCACAAATTGTGTTTAGCTTAACATTTATCGTTTTTCCATATTCACGCAGCTTCATTGCACCTTCGCAGCTTTTAAATTCACAGTGGACTTTTACAATCAAGACGAAGACTGAAAGGAATTACAGTAGCTGTAGTGCATCGATGCAGAACCTCATGCCTGCATGAAGATTTAAATCAGATGCAGCACAGCGCGCATGATCTTTTATTTAAATCAGAGGCGCCATTTCAAACTCGTCATATCTCATCAGTCAGGGCAGCTTTGTTCATGAAGCTCAGTTTTGCCGTTACATAAGTCCGAAAAGGAAAGTTGCATATAAGAAAGCAACAAAAATGAGAAAGCCATTTTTTGTTAAATTGGTATAAATTTCTACCAGAAGAAGTCTGTTTTACTGTTGCATAAGACAAGGAAACATAATCATATTTTAGCGATAAATATCGTCTTAAACTCATAGTGATACCGTGACGTGGATGACTAGGAACATATATTTCTTATGATGCACGCTTTTATTGTTAATTAGTCAGTCGGTTCCGATGACCGTTGCCTTTCGGATTGTGTCGGCAGATGCGTCAGACAGTATCTAACTTTCCCGGTCCTCTGTTAGCGTTTGACCTTTAGAAAGTAATCTGAGGATGGAGAATAGTGCTTAGAGACACTTGCCTGTGTTATTTTTCTCCGTCTTCTAGATCTTCGTTCGATATGTTGAGCAAGCAGTAGCTGTGATGCCTTTCATTCTGAAAATATTCGAAGGCCGTGCCTAACCATCGCAGCTGTAACTTATCAATAAGGTAAGCTGTAAGCTCAACCAGAGGCTGTACACCAGGTCTCTCGGCTGTCGCAACCCCGAATCATATCGAGATGCATGATACCGTAGATTCATCTCAGAAGCCTTATTTACCCAGGATCGACAGTTTCCAGTGATGGCCAAGGATTCATGACCATACGTGAGCATGGGGGATGAAGACCCACCATGACATGGCTTAATCTTCACATGCTTAATCTTCACCTTTATTCACAAAGGTTCGACCTAATGTACGCAGAATGCTTACTGGCTACAGTTTGCTAGTCGATCTTATCTAATCTTCAATCATTGGTAAACACCACCCTGAGGTACTTGAACTTTTCCGCCTGTTGCACTAGTTCTCAGTTTATCTGCAGAGCTCAACGAACAGGCGAACGAGAATGCACTAGGCCTTTGGTTTTAAATAGTTTCACACACTTGCCGGCCATCTCGCGCTCGACTGAGAGTGTTTGCAAGAATTGCTGGAGATCAGTTTTGCAAAATGCCAGCAAAACTAATCGTCGGTAAACAGAAACTTTCCCGCCTCGACATTTCTTATTCTGATACACTCGTTTCCGTGACTACGCATGATTATTCTATCCCATGTACAACACAAACTAGGGGATCGAGCACAGCCTTACCAGAGACCAGTGCCAATGCTGAAAGGTCTTGACTTAACACTATTTACTCTGACGCAGCACCTGCTATCAATATATAATGACTGGATGATTCCCAGGCAACTGTCGATCGATTCTATATAGATCCAGGCACGTCCGTAGCTTGTTGGCACGATCCGGACATAGACTTTCTCTAGGTTAACGATGCATTTGTAAATAGAATGAGTGAACGCAAACGATCTGAACAATTTCCCACAAGGTAAGATCTTGTTAAAAGTGCTTCAAGTTGACCTGAAACCACACTGCTTTACTGAATCTTAGACTAAAATATTAGGCGTCACCATTTTTTCAATACCTTTCCACAGACTTTTCCCAGCAGCCTCAAAAGTTAATGCCCGGATAATTGGAACACTTCCTATTATCTCCATTCTTGAACACGGGTGCTACCACTCCAGTCTTCTAGATCACCGGTGCTTTTTCCATATCAGTTGCAGTTTCATGTGTTCCCTTCAACATGCCTTGTTCGTCTAAACCATTAGGCATTTCAGGGTGGATTTTGTCGATTCCAGAATCCTTGCATGCGCTTTTCAGGCTTTTAAGGCGTCTGTTAGTTTGCCTGCTGAAAGACGGACATTCGTTGCCTACTGTTCTTAAGTCGAATTTTCTTGTGGTTGCTCTGGGCTAAAGAATTCCTCAAAGTGCTCACTATGGACGAAGTTTGTCTTCGTCCTCGGTAAAAGGGTGTCCATAATTGTCCTTTAGGATTCCTGGATTGTATGTTTTTACATAGGAGACGCCAAATGGTTTGTCAGAGTACCATATTTGCCGTCTGGAAATTTGACTTCAACACCTCCCTGAATTTCTCCTAGGAATCAGCTTTGGCTTTCGCTACTGCTTTCGCTGCCTTTTTGCGCGCTTCGAACCGGTTTCGAGCTGGAGGTTCCTTGCTTCCGGACCAGCCTTTCCTTGCAACCGTCCTGTCTTCTGCTTGATAGCGACAGCTGATCGAACCTCTGGTATTCACTGGAAAGCTAGTTCCTTACCTCCATAGCGGCGGGCCAACCGTTTTATGTCACAACATTGTGTTTCAACCTTAAGTAAGTCGCTCTTAAAGTGCTTCACTCGGTTTTCGCGTAATCAATCATCACTGGGATCTGTTCATACCGTCTTGTGATGTTTCGCCCTCATATCGGCAGGTAATAATTCTTCCATTGTGATTCTCCGGTTGTTTTTACCTCCATGTCTTCGCGCGGTACTTCGTATTTTACATCTTAGCGTGACAGCAGCAAGTTGGTGATCTGTTTACAGCTCTACCTCTCTCTTAAAACGAACATCCCTTACAGATCATACCCTTTTGATTATCAAATCGATCATCGACTTTTGTGCACATGCTTCGCTCTACCATGTATAATGATGCATGTTTCGATGCTCGGTGTTCATAATAAACTATCCGTTGTTTCCACGAGACCGCAATAATTTCTTCCCATTATTGGTGATGTCGCTGCAGCCATTCATTCCGATCGCGGCTTTCCGTTTTTCTGTCTTATCGAAAAGGCGCATTGAAATTGCCTATCAAAATGGATTTCATAGCTCGCACTTTGCACATTCTACCCTCACCATTAGATATTCTCTTTCCAGATTGTCCTAAAGGACATATAAGAAGATTCAAAGCTTTAGCATGTTGTAGCTTCAGTCGGAGGATTGCCACTTTTGCTGACAGGCTTCCTTTCAATGATTCTATCAGCCAGGCTAGGATCTACCGGAACACCGGCCTGAGCATGCGTCATAATGCCGATACCTGAGTAGAATAATTTCCGCTCACAGAGGTTCAGATTTTCAAAAACCCTAGCGTTTCGTTGACGGGAGTACAACTAAGTCGAGTCTGTACCCTGCGCCTCATCATGTGGCTCTTGTTCTTTTTCTCTGAACGACGAGATGTTCTAATTTACGTCTGTGATATCCCAAGGTCAATATTCTTTCCCGTATAATCTTATTTGACTTGCTGTAATGGTATCATGCTGTCTGCTTTCTCCGTTCAGAACGGATAACGACTTTTTTGCAGACTGTTATCTTCGTAGTCATCTTGTCGGTCTTTGGCAGAAGTCGCCGTGCTGCTATGCCTCCAGCTGCAAAAGGGCATAAAGCTGATTCTGGTCGCCAACTTTTTGCAGTCCGTCTCATTTTCATAATGACCTGCGCTACCCCTTGTAACTCCGGCATCGATCAATGCGATATAACATTCGATAACTGCAACATACAGTTATATTAATATTGCGTTAATTGGGATTAATTAGAAATTACATTTCGTATTAATTAGTACGTACCTCTTAACGGTTAACGGTTTGCAGATACGTTAAAGCCATTTTTTATGAAAATAATTCACAGAGTGTATCAATTGCCGTAAAAAACAATTGGTAACTTTTTTGTACTTAGTAGGTATTTTGAACAATTAAAATTTACGTTGTTGTGGCGACTGTTTTTTCATTTAGGATAATCTGGTGCTGCACCACTGGGCCAGAGTAGAAGACCGCGGCAAAAAGTACCTGTTTTCTCGTTTCAACAGAGTCAGTCTATCACAGTTTTATATTTTTGAACAATTCAGTAATATTGTAGGTTCTTGAATTACCATCATATACTTTGGAGGAATACAATGAACTGCTATCTTCTCCGGACTGGACAAAGTCAGAATCTGATCACCTCATGGAGTTATGTCGCCAGTTTGACATCAGGTTGGTTAATTTCTTAAAACATGCAGTAATAGTTTTTATTAGGTGGCCGGTGATTTTTGACAGGTGGAATCCTGAGCTTTTCTCACGTGTACCCACGCTGAATGAAATGAAAGAAAGATATTATAATATCTGCAACGCTTTAATTAAGGTAGGTTTTGTCAAATATTATGTACGTACTTTTTGCTTCGCATTTCCCCAGCAAAGCATATTTAGCATATCTGACCGTTTATTCATTTAACTGTCTTCTTTGAAATATCCATATCTGAATTAATGAATTACGTTCGAAGTAAAGTAGGATTTTTTTGCATCATTCTCTATTCAGATTGTGGAATCGTGATTGGCGCTGGAGATGTTTTATGCGATGAGAAACTCCTTTTTGCTTTCAGGCTGTTTTATTATGTAAAACTTAAATAGAATATTTCCAGAAAGGAAGGCGGAACAGCAATTACTTGCTACGTCCAAAAATTAGCTAGGTAAAGTGTCTCGAAGGACTCTGCTCCAGACTCGGATTATCCTTTGTCAAAGCTCAGACGATCGCACAGGATCATTGACGTTCGAGACACTGTCTGACGCGTTTGCATCTGCAATCCGAAACGATAAGCGGTCTTCGACACTGACTGAGTGACTACTTAAATCGTGTTTTTTCCTTGCAGACTGGATATACAACACATAGTAGTCCAGAAGTTCGTAGTCTTGCGGTCTTAAATCTTGTAGACAAATACTGCACGAAAAAAAAATGAATTCATTTTCAAGTTCTCTGAGCTCATATTTGAGTTAATGAAGCTCGAAGGACAGATTTTAATCAGAAGCATAAATTTTAAAAGCAGGCCTATTTCGATTATCTGGATGGCAGTGATGCGGTGAATATGATAATCATGTTGAGCCATTAAATGTTTTCGATAGAGCTGATGCTGGGCGAATTTGCTCTGTGATTCATCTTTGGGTGAGGTTTTCTTCTTGCTTTTCGCCTTCTACAAAATTTCTCGATTTTAAGTATTGTTTTCCATAGAATAATTTGTAGCTGGTCGATCTGTGCAATTTTCCGGAAATTGTAATTTTAGCTATCCCGCTATCACTTCCTATGCTGCTTTTCATCTGTTTTGCCTTTAATCCAACCGATTATTCATAAAGTTTTCCCTTTGAGCAACAGATGACATTCGAAGATGCGAATTTCAATATTGTTTCTTTTATACGAGAAATATTCTGTTTTCCTGCATTTAATCCGGGTTATGGGTCTTTTATGTACCTATTAGAGTTGTTTTTTGTGCAACCTTGTCCATGCGGTTTTGGGACAAGTGATAGTTATGAGGGGAATTTCGTGGTATATTTTTTACATACTTGATTACAGTATTTTCGCCGAAACCAAAATTTTACACCTAAGCAACAAGCGAGGCAGAAACTCAAACATTATTCCTGAGGTTTTGGAGTTCTAATCAGATGATTAATATTCCAATTTTTTGCCATCTGATTGCTTGTGATCTCTTGCAAGAGATTCACCTGATGAAAGTAATTCATCTTCAAGTAACCTAGAAAATTCTGTAGTCATTTTTAGTTTTAATTTCAGAGCAGAACACCCCCTGGCAAAGAATCTAAGTTGTTGTGTTTTGATTCAGACCATGAGCAACGTCGTCGTGACCAACTAGAAAAGCTGTGGGCTAGGAGTAAAGAAGAGGTACGTGTCGTGAGGTTTTGGTTGCTTTATTGTTCTGGATTTACATAGGTGGAGGAAGAACGGAACTTGTTAGAAGAATTGAAGAAAATCGAGGCTCGCAAGAAAGAGAGGGAAAGAAAAGCAAATGACTTGCAAAAATTGATCTCAGAAGCTGATAATCCGATTCAGAAGCAAAAGACTAATGGTAATCCATTGGTTATAAACAAAAAGAGGCTGTTGAAAGTGTCCAACGTCGTTACGGGACCAGCAGATAGCGTGAGTCATATTTCCTGCTGTTTATTGATTGCCACTTATGTTGCGTAGCTCTTTTGCGTGGTAAAATTGGTGGTTTCCACCCGTAAGCACCTTCTGAAACAGCGATAGGTTAATCTAGTCAAAAAATATTCCAATTTCAAGTCCAATATTCCAAATTTACTGTGTTAAAGTTACTAAATTTTTTTAAGTTAACTCTCAGTTTTGCGATCTTGCAAATGCGTATCAACGTTCTTGCCTATGTATGTGGGTTCGATGATGAGGAGCGATACTCCAGACTTTCGTTTTCGAAGAAACCGCCCTTTCCTCTTAAGAACAATAAATTGTTGTATCCCAACGGCTTCACTGTTTACGTGATGCATTAATTTCCTAAAGTAGCGTTTCACTACATTTGACGGAATAACAGGCATGACTGCTTTCATCCTGCTTTCAGAAACCTGTCGACTTGGATTTAAAAGTTTCAACAGTCTTACTACGCCGGATTTCATAACTGTTGACCCTCCAGGTGATAGGAATGGTCAATTCTCTCCGTTCTCTATTACACCCATTTAGCATTGCCCTGGTTCTTGGTTCCTCTTGCCCATGAATGTTCCCTTTCTATTCAGAGTGCAAGACAGTACGTTGCATTTCATCATGGTTTTTTTTAAGAAACTAACAGGGACGGTAGCATCAAGAAGACTGCGTTAGAGAGGTATAAAGAGACTAATAATAAGGTTTACACTCGTTAGTGTGCCGTTTCAGTGTTCATGAAAGGGCAGCGCTGCTACTACAGCTAAATGTATGCATTTCAGCCATCTTTTCCCTTGCATGCGATCCTTTATTTTTGTCGTCCACTCTCTTCGACATAGGCGGTGAAATTGGATTTAGGAGCCACCTATCAGTTGTAAATAAATTGGTAGAAAATCTTATTTTCTTTATAGTTGTTTAATCGCATATAAAATGAATTAGGGTGATGGCGCTCTAAATGAATTGTTCGCTTGATAAGTAAAGGGTTAAAATCCCATGCGCGGCGTAAAACTTCTCTGATAAATTGCTAATTGCCTCGAGCACCGAATTCACCTCATTTTGCTTTGGAGCAGCTAACTGGCAAACGGTTAGCAAGTCGTTGACCTGCAAAACATGGGAGCAGCGTTGTATTTTGGTGCATTCATGCCATAGTGTACGAGACTTGCCATCTTACTGTTCTGAAGTGAGCTTACGGCTGCATTTACCATGACCCATTTGATACCTAGCTAAAATCCAACACCATATGTTTTTTTCTTGCATGTTCCCTTTAACAGAGGTCTGCTAATCGAGTTAACCTCCATATTTTTATGTCTTTGGTTAAACACGGTGACTCCTCACAGTTTCATATCGTTCTTGAGACATCGCGCCACCTTTTCTTTGGTCTTTCCCTTCCTTTCTTTTCCTTTCCTGACAGTATCGGTGCTTGGACTACATTTCCAACATACTCGATGGATCTTCTTTTCATGTGACCCAACCATCGAAGTCTGCTTTCGATAAGCTTTACTGAAATTGATGCTACGTCTCGAGTGCCTCTTATGAAGCTGTTTCAGATGAGGTTTTTTCTGCAGTCACTACATCCATCTGAGCAGTCGTATTTCAGTCGATTTCAGCTGTTACTCGTGTCTCTTCATGGTAGCCAAATATTCTGCTACCTACAGAAGCACCGGTCTAACTATCGTTCTGTACACCTTCCCATTCAGTCTAATGGGCATCTTGTCGCACAGTACTCCGCTCACTTCTCTCCATTTGAGCCAAGCTTTTTTTGACCAATTTCTTGCAGCGCTGTCGATTCCATATTATCTTGCGGGATGGAATCAAGGTAGCTGAATTCTTGGATTTGAAGCGACAAGCTTCCCTCTACTTTCATTTGTTTTGCGGCTTTCAATTTGTTTTCTCTCATTGAAGTAGCCCGTCATACATTCTAGTCTGTCTTCGTTGAGTCTTAGGTCGTTCTTCTCAAAAACAGTTTTCTGTACCTCGGATTTTGCTTTTACATTGCTACAAGCACAGTATCATCTGAATAAAGCATGCAGTATGGGGCTTTTTTCTGCAGATCCCTAGTTATCGTGTCTGCCAACTTCGAGAATAGAATTGGAGTCAGCGCAGATCCTTGGTGGACTCCTACCTGCACATGGGAACTCTTCCGTTTCACCGCATGTACTTCGAAATATCATTGCCTCTATGTTATACATACGTTTGATAAGCCTGACATTTTTTTTACCACCTTCTTATTCTCCACCAGATTGTTTACGCAGAGTATTCGGTCAAGGGCTTTCTCCAGGTTTACAAACACCGTGGGAATGACCAATCTGCCTTCTCTTTACCCTTCGAGTGTTGTTAAAAAAAGGAATCTCTGGTAAGCTATTCTGGCATAAAGCCAAATTAGTTCGCGGTGATATCGACCTCCTTCCTAAGTCCTTTGTCCAGCACCCTCTGGTATGACTAAGCAGTTTAATTCTTCGGTAGTTTTCACAGGCTAGGATGTCCCCTTTCACTTTCACATTTGCATCAAAATACACTGCTTCCACGATTCCGGCATTTTTTCACATTACACAATTTTGTTGAATGATGCGCAGAGCCAGACCACGCTTTCTTGTCTCCGTGCTTTCCATACTACTACGCTAACTCCGTTCAGGCCAAGGAAGTTTTTGCTTTTCATTTGGGTCAAGATTTCTTCCACTTCATCAGGTAAGATCTTTTCGACTAGACCCTGGTTTCGTGGAATCTCTTCCGCGACATCTCGGATATTCTTCGTTTAGTAGCGTTTAGAAATGCCTTCGCCTGGAAGAACGTGTTTATCAGAGCCAGATCATATGCAACTGCTATCTGCAAGATGCTCTCCTTCGTTGTTTAAAATATTATATCAGTGTTCGCCATGGATCCTTCGATGTTTCTCGACGTGCCTGTTAAGGTTACACCCAACTATCACTTTTTCGTTTCGCGGTACAATGCCTAGGTTCTTCCAGAATGTCCGTTTTTCGGTTTCATTCTGGCCAATCTGAGGGGCGTAGGCGCTTATTATATTTCAGATACCACTTTCCAAAGTTAGCTTAACGCCCATGATTCTGTGGTTAATTCGGTTGACTTCGAATATCCTGTTTTCGGTCGCTTTATTCAGTACCACTCTAACTATATTTCTTCTCCTTCGTTTCACAATAAATAAGTGTATAGCCTAGCCCGGTCTCTTTCGACTTCAAACCTTTCCATTTGGTCTTTTGAATGCAAGAAAGAGATCTGAACTCTTCCTCTTTGAAGAGCTTCCGCTAGCTCCATGCTGCTTTTCCCTTTTCGTTGTTCAGTGGTCCAAGTGGTTATTCGTATTTTTAAGATCGTTATTCGTCGTCGCAAGAATTAGTTCCTTTGCTCATTTTTCACACCCGCAGGCATTTGCTGCTGCGCGTTGCCCGTGAGGAACGCCCTGAGATTATTTTTAGAGGTAAGTTCACTCATCAGATTTGGCTTTGGCATTGCATTTTACTGCCGACAGGCTGCTTGATGTTAATCCGTCTTTCACAACCAGGCTTGGAAACGGCTCGTTTGGGTTAGCAGCATGTTTGCTTGATGGCAGCCTGTATTCGCCATGTCACTGCTCGGTCATCGAACCTTGCAGTATTTTCTGTAATCAACTTTGCCAAAAGTTTGCTCACTGCACCCTCGTAGTTTTTCGCGTTATTCGCAACTGCTTACTCATCCGATTTGTTTGTTTCGCAGCTAACCATCACATCTGAGGGTTGTCCCACTATCCGCATCCTCTGAACGCTTTTGGCGGCATCTGACTTTGCCTCGACCCTTCAGACTAACTCTAAAATCCAACACCAAGTATAAGCCGTAAGGTTTGATAAATGTTTGAAATAGTCTGAAGTCAAACATCGACCGAAATTTAGTCAGCGAAGTATTTGTTTTAATTATGTAAACATTTAAACTATCAGTTGCAGTAGTACAAAATCTGAATCTGTGTAGAGTTTCTTGGTGAAAACGATTCGTTTTTGCCTTACTAAATGCGAACCTTGCCGGTTGTAGTCAGAGTGCCTTTCTCACTTAGACCTTCCAGGGGTTCATATTAAAATTTCTTTCATGTTATTATTGTATCATTACCGTTGCTTTATGACTTCGGACAGACTTTATGACTGCCATAATGAGAACTAATGAATTTAAATTTGCTTACCCTGGTGCCATCTCGCGCATTCTTGTTCACCCTGAGTAGTATGATTGCTGTCAGGTTTGTAAAAAGCCAAAACTTTTAAATACGTCTACTTTTAACTGCGATATGTTCTCTTTGGCTAGGTAATTTCTCAGCATTTCTCACATGGCATTGTTCTGCCATCGTTATGATATCGTTCGAGCTACTTGAACAGAAAACTAATAAATTTTCAAGCTTTTCAATATGAATGGTTTTAGGAGTGACGCAAGATTCGCATTTATTTCTGACTCCTGTGACCCCAGTCATTCATATTGGAAATGTAGAGAATTTATAACGTTCGCAGTATTGAAAATCACATTCCGAAAACTTAATGCCTTAAGCTTTATCTGCATAGGTTTTGCTATTACAGCAATGTCGTTGTAGAATACGGAACCTGCTGGAGGTTTGAAGTTCCCTGACTTCAAAAATCCTGGAATTTACTTAAGAAGCCAGAAGATGAGGCTACCACCAACGTTCGGCCAGAAAAAGGCGAAAATGATTGAACAGGCTTTAACGGTTTTGGCTTTGGGTGAGTACCAATCTGCTTCAGATTATGAACCGTATCTGTAATTTTTCCTTAGAACACAACCCGGTCGCCACGGAAGAGATATGTGAGCAGTTCAATAAACTAAGGTCAGACATTGTCTTACTTTATGAACTGAAGTGTGCGTTGGCGGTTTGCGAGTATGAACTGGAAACTTTGCGCCATCAGTACAGTTCGATAACATCGCAGGTACGTTCGCCTTATAGCGCCGCTTTTACTATGTAGTAATGTTTAAGGATTTGACCATTCCATCTCGTCTCCGAATCGACAGTGATGAAAAGACATCGCCCTTTAAGCGGCGAATTTCTGAGAAAATCGACGTCAATTTTGGACCTGCGTCGGTAAGTGTTTTCTAGCCTTCTGACATAGTCGTATGAGGCATTTATTCAAGGGTAAAGTCATCTTTCAGCATTTCTTTTTTAAACTTTTGATTGTACGTTGCGCATGTAAAAGTCACATGAATTTCTTGGCAACAGTTAAAAGTGCACTTTTGATAACTTTTGAACGAACCCCTTTTATCCGTACAAAATTTCCTCCTGCTAGTAGTAAAATCTCATCCTAAGTTCCATGCCTTAACGTATAACTGTAAATAACAGCATGCACCAGTTGAAAATGAACATACTCTGAAGATTAGTGCTCAACGTGGGTGCAACAGCTCATTCTGTCGATGCATAGATGACGTATAATCTAAACCGGTGGCCTCATGCTTATGTATTCTGTAAATAGATAAGTTGCATTAAGGTTTGAAATGAGTTTTGCAACATTAACAAATACAAAGCACTGTTGCGTTACCTCGAACTGTAAACGGGCAAGTTGCACATCACAGAAGTGCTATCATGAAGTTTCAGTGCTTCTTTTTCCTCTCGAACATCTTTATCATTCTGTACCGAATATTGATCACGGTCTAACTTGAGGAACTCTGTTGATTAGTCTCAGATAAGACGATCTTATGACCTGCGCAACTGTAATTAAACTTTTGGTGATTTTTGTAACTAAAGCGTACCCTCATTTTTACCCCGACACTGTTACAGTGTATAGCGAAAGACGTTCGTAATAAAGGATTAACATGTGCCGTTTGGTGCCCTCAACCATGAATCAGAAGAGCAACTACACGGTTACTCCCTTATTCCAAGGGTCACTTTTATACATTCGATGACAGCAGTTTTCATTGGCACGTCCAGCTGTATTTCTCTGTATTAACTGACTTTAACACTTTTATCCGTAAGTGATGTGCGAAAGATCCATAGCGATTTATCCGTAGCGTAGTGTCCACTTCTGTATATATTAACTGTTTGTACTATATAGGCAACTCCTTATTCTGCTTCTTTAGTACTGACTGAAAAAAAAACTCACACTGTTAGTGAAATATTCGTCAAAAATTTCTCCCTTCCCGACTTTGCCCTAAAATTGCACAAGATCCACGCACTATTTCTTCATAAAATTGTTCAATACATACCGAATGTTTATGTGTGGCTTGCCTAACTGATCTTAAAGTGGTTTTCTATGCTGAACACTGTTCAATTTGCTTCTATAGAGGAAGAAAAGATCCGCACAGGACCCAGCACCGACAATGAAGAAACTACGAAGGTTGTCCTGACAGGCATTGTTACAGAAATTAAGGATGGCTGCATGACTTGCGAGTGAATTGAGTGAATGAATTGCGAGTTGCGTATGGTGCGTTTAATGTATTTTCGCTATTTATAAATAATGTACATTAAAACGTTTTCTTTCGAGGTTTCAACATAAAACGTACAGAACGAAACCAGTTGCGTGTGTAAATGGTCAAGTTTTGATAGAACAAAGTCATCCTTACGCTATTAAAATTTTTGAAATTTGAGAAATTCGTTCATGCTGTTTAACTGCTCTTTGTGTAGTTTCGAACTACCTATATTGGCCTTTACTGAGGTTGTTTAAAGAGTCGAATTAAAGTTTACGCAATCAGTTGTTTTATTAACGATTTCTCACAGGGCTTCAAATGGAGGTTAATTATAGTCAGTTCATGTACGGAGAACTTTTAATGTACATTTATGAAGAAAACGAACAATTTCAACCACGTATGCAACTGTGGTGTATGGAATATCATTTACTGAACTCGCACCACAGGAAAATGACGATGGGAACTCCAATCAAATACCGGCGTCGTCTAAAACATATTTTAAATTTTTCAGTGACAAAGTAATGACAAGCTGTAAAACTGCTTGCAGTGCCGATGTTTCGACAATAAGAACCACATGATGAACCTTGATAGTTTTCCGCAGTTATATACCTTTGCATTAATCTCTTAAATCCGTAGTCTGTATATTCTGACAATAACGGTAATTGAAATCTAATAATAACAGTTATCATTTTCTACTGATTTTTACCAGTTATTCCTGTTGAAATGATTAGAGATCCAGATAATTTTAAACCAGCAAATTTCAGCGTAAAATTACAATTCAGTTTAAACATAAATCATGTTTTATTCTTTCTGCCAAGACACTACGTTTTACTGCAGCATGGACATCCTGCTGGCATTGATAGATGAGTGATAGTCATGATAAATAATTGGATGTCACTTAAGACTGAAAGTCATTCTAAATTTTGGCACTCAAACAGCGAACATTTAAACATTAACTTTACAAGGTGACAGATCTGAATCATTTTAAAGGCTCGCTGGTTTGGTGCTGACAAGAATTTCCTAAGCTTGTTAATCCAACTGTGAGATCGGTATGAAAAGTTGTATGCGTAATTTCTTAAGAAAAGACCAATTCAAATTGACTAGAAAGACACTTATCTCAAACGGCACGAAAAACAGCTTTCAGCACAATGAATATCTTAGCGATAAAAACGGAGTTATAAAATAACTGTCATAAATATCATCTTGCTTTACCTTGGACTGAGAAAATTGACTAGCAGACAACAACTTCGCCGCCACTCCGTTGAATCTCGCAACCCTAGCAATGGTCTGAGACTAAAGAAGACAAACGGTGAAAAGCCGGAAAAATTGTTAACAACAGAGTCAAGCAATTAAGGCAAATTTTATCTCAAAGCATTCTAATGGCCCTATTATGCCTTCCACTTATATTTAGAAGTGCAGCAAAAACCCTTATTTGAACAACGCAAAAATCTTCTAGATCTGTTGCAGTCGATGTTTGGCCCATATCACATGGTGGTTTAAAGTAAGGTTGGTAGTGGTTGGCTACTGCATTGCCGGTATCTGCAGCTATTGATTCGCGTCAAGGAGTAAGGGCAACTTACCTAAGGGATAGATAAGATTCAGCTGCTGTAACAATTCCAAATAACAATCATCAGCCGTATCTACAAGACTGACATACAGCCGAAATTTTCACGGAGTTTTGCGTTGCTAACATAATGGCTTTTGACATGTAAGGCTGACGGTGTAAGGGCAAAATAGTGTCCGCAAGTATGCATCGAAGTTGTGTGGGAGCTGTAACATTAGCCGATCATCCATGGTTTGTGACGTCCATTGTATCTGCAACTTTAGACAACTTCCTATAAGGCACCCACTACTTTATCGTAGAAGGAAATGTTCATTTCTGAAAGCAAATCTGCCTTGTTTTTTCAGGTTGAATTCTGGCCCCTCGTCGACGGATGCCGTGCTCTGGCTTCAACAAAAATTTACAGGCTGGAGTTAGCAGTTTCAGTTGAACCAGTTTCGTTAATGGACCAACCAACTTCTTAACCTCAGCGTCTACCGAGGTCATCTGTGCCTGGAAGAGAATACATTCCTATGTTCTAGATTCATATTCCTTATGTGACCCTGTCATTTAACCTTCATTATGCGTCTAAGCCAGTGCCGCTTCGACCTTAAAGTATTTGTTCACTGAAGTTCTGGTACCCTGAACTTTACAGGATGGGTCCCTCAGCGTTTGAAGCAAGTCTTTGCAGCATGCAATTCCTTTTTACGATGCCTTAGCGAAAGTACACTTCCCTGACGAACTGCATAGTTATAAAGGATTTATTCGCCTTGCTCTCCTTCGACCTCGGATGGATATTGCATCAGTACACCTTTTCCAAAATGGAAGCGCTCCATTTACATATTCTATTAAACGCATATTAAAATCTGCCACATCG